TTTAACATGTTTCCTATCACTTTAGTTTCATATTGTACTATCCATGTATATTATTGATTTTAATAATATTTTATTTTAATTTTGCAAATATACATGTATGTGTGTATGTGTGTGTGCGCGCACGTGTAAAATAGTTATATATAGCTATAGATAATATTAATTTTGAAGATCAAATGTTCATATATGAAAAAATTCTTAAATAATAATTTAAAATGTGTGTGTAAAAGATAAATTATAAATTTTTTTTAAATAATACATTCGCTAAACACTTTTAAATAATTATTTTGTAGAAACATTTTTTTTATCTTTATTACTGTTTGTTATTAAATAATTTCTTTTGCTAGATGTGATGCGGATCCTGCTGCACTGGCGAAGTATGTCTACGCTTTGGTTAAAAAAGACAAAACTTTAGAAGAATTACGCGGTGGCATGGTTGAGCAATTGGATGTATTTCTTCAACAAGGTATGTATAAAATATTTGATAATTGGATAAATAGAATATTTGATTATTGTTATCCTGTATATTAAAAATACATTATAATTAATGTTTTCCAGAAACCAAAAACTTTGTGGAATTGCTCTTTAAAACACTGGAGACTCAGGAATATATACTTCCACCATCTAAGAGTGATCCAGATGGTGGTGGAACTCCACCTGGAATAAACCCACCAGCTCCAGTTGTATCATCAACAACAGAAAAAATAATGGATACAACAATTCCATTAGTACCTATGATTACAAATCCCCCAGCTTCACTTCAAATTAATGGATCTACGCCTGCTGTAATTAGTAAGCGCGAGACTAGAAAGTCTGATTCCGATAAGGACAAAGAAAAGGAAAAACGTTCTCGAAGCAGGTAAAACAATTTTATGTTTTTTGGAGAAGAGATTAAATCAATAGCTTATAAAAATAAGAAGAGCGTAAAAAATATGCAAAAATTTAGTAAATTTTAATAAGATATAATTTTATTAAGATATATATTGTGAAACTCCAATGTTATCATATATAAAATATAGGAGTGGAAGAATGAGATCAAGAACACGATCACGATCACGATCATGGGAAAGGGATAGACGTAGATCTAGAAGTAGGGAACATATCCGGCGTGATAGAGAAAGAGATAGAAGTCGTCCATGGCGAAACGAATCTCCACCGATCAGTACCAGACGACATGATCGCAGGTGCGTTTATATTTAGAACATCTAACAAAACTTAATACAAATTTTATCACAAAAAATTTATATCAAAAAACATTTGTGATAAATCTCGATTTTGATCAATCAAATCTTGATCAATTTGACTATTTTCAATGCTTTGAAAAAAATTTTTCTGAGAATTATAACTATTTCGGTAATTTTTAATATTGTGTAGTGTATATTAGATTATTCTTTTTATTGTTTACTAATTGTTTATTGATATTTCTTAATTTTTAATTATTGAATTCCACTGTCTTTGAACTTTTAAATTATTTTTGAATATTTTATCATGTTTTATTTTTTAGACGTACTAGAAGTCGTAGTACATCACCCATACGACCTAGGATACGCGATGGTCCAGATAGTCGCGATCATCGAGCAAGGTTCAGAAACAGATCTCCGACTCCACTTCGATCCCGTTCGCGTTCAAGATCAATAGAGCGAAAGAAGATTGATCGCTTTGAGAGGATAGAGATAGATAGAACGGATCGAATCGAGGGAAGTCCTGGTGATGGTACACCGACCCAAGATAGTAATCATGGAGATGTAGACATGAGACTGTCTACAACTAGTCAATCAATACAAAGTGTTGTAGCTGTTGCGAGTAGTATTCCAAATAATCAGACAGGTTCTTTTCAACAACAAGCAAAAAGACGTTGCAGAGATTTCGATGGTATGTACCTTGATAATTTAAAGAACTCAGAATAACTTATTTAAAAAATTATCAAAAGTTTTTGCGTAGGTTTAAAGTAGTAACAAAAATAAAGTGGCTCTTGACATCAAAAGAAATATGTATTTTCGCTAAATGGCATCATATTTAAATGTTAATATTTTATACTTATGCTTGTAGAAAAAGGATATTGTATGAGAGGTGACCTTTGTCCTTATGATCACGGTACAGACCCAGTTGTGTTAGAAGATGTAACACTTACTCGTGTTTTGAGTTTTGGACCACATAGCACTCAAGCTCCAGGAACAGTTCCAGTAGCCACGGTACCGGAACCTCCACAGGGTCCTAATGGTAATCCACCACCGCCACATCTTCCCCTTTCCAGTTTACCACCCTCTCAGTTAAGAAACCATCATTCTAACATGGGTATGTATCTCTACAGTTTGTAAGAGCGATATTTATAATCAGTTTAAGATCATCTTAAGATTGTTTCAACCATTTATAAAATGACCATGAACTTATTTAAAATGATTTTAAATATAAGAATAGATTGTGAATTTCAGTCTAAGTTTGGTACCTCAATTACTTAATATAATATTATAGTAATTAGTAATATTTAAGTAATTTCTTTAAAACAATTTTTTTTGTATATATACAGGGTGTTTAATAAAAATTAGGATTTCGTATTTACTCCGGAAGGATGACGTTTTTTGAAAGAAATATTTTAGGCAAAAGTTATAAAGTTGTAAAAAGATCGATTTATTGATTTTATTAGTGCGACTTTGGGTGGACATGCCAAGATCATAAAGATCAACTGGAGGTTTTCATTTAAAAAAACAAAGTTGACCTTTATATGATCTCAAAATGTCTATCCAAGGTCATACTAATAAAATCAGTAAATAGATTAGTAAACAGATCTTTTTATAATTTTACACTTTTGTCTGAAACATTTCTTCCAAAAACGTCATCCTTCTGAGTAAATTCGGAATCTTGACTTTTATTGAACACCCTGTATATTATTGAACACTCTGTATATTATTAAAAGAAATGTTATTGAAAATTAGAAAATCAAGTTGAAATGAAAATGGACAATTTTCAATCATTTAATTTGAAATAATAGCCTTGGATAGAAGGAATAAACTGTTAAAATTTAAAAGGGCTTTGCCACTTTTAAAAAGGCTGTGTAACAAATTCAATTATTGCTGTTACTCGGCATTACAGATTGGTTTTCTTACTCTGTTCAATTCATATTGTGAGCATAGCTGTCAGCACAAAGATTGTGTATTTTATCAATTTATATATGTATTCATGTATGTATTTAGCTATTACATAACATCTTTCTTTATGTCAACAGCTGCTCGTAATATGTAGCATATACATAATTACAGTAAATTGATCCAAGTTTTATATTTCATTTAATATTTTATATTTAATTTTATATTTAATTAAAAAGTATATGCCAGAAAATAAACAATGCAAACATAGCACATAGTTTCTAGTATATACACATATAATTTTGTAATTTAAATTATAAATAACACAAGAAAAAGAAGCGATATTATAATTGTATATTATATCATTACTAATTTACAAATGTATTATATGTTCTGAAGTATAATAAATTAAATATGTCAGATGCTTTTACAGAATATAATCCAGATGCGCCTAGCATGGAGCCACGAATGTCATGGGGTAGACATCCACAACCCGCACCTGGAATTTACGGCAGGGGACAAAGAGAACTGATCAGTGTACCAGTTATTCCCCATACAAATTCATCAGAAATAACTCATACTCAAAGCAATCCTTTAAAACGCAAACAAACATTCGACTTTAATCGACTGGGACCGAAACAGAGAATGGTACATAATCCGGCTAATTGTTCTCTTGAATTGAAAAAAGTCCCACGAAGTTTAAACAATATAACTCAATTGAATAATCATTTTTCCAAATTTGGTAAAATTGTAAATATCCAAGTTAATTTTGGTGGCGATCCTGAAGCAGCGTTAGTTACCTTCCAGCTGCCAACCGAAGCAAAATGTGCTTATAGAAGCACAGAGGCTGTGTTGAATAATAGATTTATAAAAGTATTTTGGCATAATAATGTCAATAATAATGCAGCTGGCGGAGCTATCGAAAATGTGCCACCAGGTAAGATAGCACTTTTATCATCCACAATAAATATTATAAAATTGCCGAACGTCATTTATATAACGAAATTATTATATCTAGGTTGCCGTCCTTCTGTGAAAGAAAGGCTAGGCGCTGCGGTAACATTACCTGCAAAAACTGAAGATAATGAATACGTTCCTACGCGTCGTTCGACCGAGGAACAAATCACACAAACTTTAGTTCCAACTTCACCTAAAGCTATCGTTCCTAGTCGAGAAGACAAAGTTCTCGCGATAAAAAAAACGCAAGAGATATTAGCGGCTAAAGAAACATTGAAAAAGAAGCAAGAGGAAAAGCGTAAAGAAGCATTAAAGTTAACAGCTGACTTGCGCAAGAGGAAACAAGAATTATTAGATAAGCATCTAATCGAACTGCGCGCCCTGATCGACAAGGCTGAAAAGAATCCAGAACAAAAGGACTCGATCATGCCGACGATAAAAACTATGCAACAATCAGTCGATAATTTACGCAAAGATTTAGCCACGAACGGTCAAGTAGGCGGTAACAAGTCGCAGGTGAAGTCCAGAGAACAAGCGCAAAAGGAGATACTAGATGCCGAGTTAGATTTAATGACTGCACAACAAGAAGGCCAAGACGCAGGCGAATTGCAGAAAAGATTAAATGAGCTTCGAGCCCAAGCAGCCGCGTTGGGCTTAAACACAAACCCTAGCGTGGGAAGAGGTACAAAGGCCAATCGGATCGCGCGTGGTACTCACTCGTTATCTTATAGAGGCCGTGGTAGGGGAAGTTTCACTCATGTCTCGGTAGATCATCGGCCAACGAGTCTTCTAGTCTCCGGTTATGAAACTGAAGAAAAAACAGAAGTTCTAGCGCATTTTCAAGTAAGATTTATGCATTCATAATATTTATAATACTTTAATAGATAGATCTTATATATAAGACTTTAATAGATCTGTCAGTCAGAAATAGCTAAACCTAATATATAAACATTTTATATGCTTAAAATACTTTATTATTTTTTAAAATTACTTTAGCTATAAAAAATTATCTTTTTACAAGAAGATAAATAAATGATCGAGTGCTCTCTATAAAAAATTAATTTATTATAAGATATTATAATTATTATAAGATTATATATTATTACTATACCTTATAAATATTGTAAGATAAAAATTTTCACACTTATATTGCGATAGCTCCGTTCATAGAGCACAAAAACAAAAATTTTGTTAATAATTTAACCCTCGTTTAGGGCGATCCAAGCTTAGTTGGAACTTGATTATATTTGAAATATAAAAATATATGTATTATGTATTTGTTACAATATATAACTTCTAATAATATGTAAAGTTTATATCTCGTTTTTATTAATATTTTTACAAATATATAATATACGGATAATATTGCCAATTATTTTTGTGTTCTAGCAATTTGGTGAAATAATGAATCAAATAGTAGACGACGCGACTCCTTCGATCGTAATTAATTTCAAGTCAAGAAAAGAGGCTGAAGTGGCTCTGGTGAAAGGACGCACATTTCAAGACAGACTGTTATCAATAACTTGGGTATCTGGCCATCATTTGCATCGGGGAGGAGCTGGTACTAACTCAAGCGCATCTATACAACTCTCGCGTTCTGAACAAATTGCGCCTGTCACAGATGAAGACATTGATTTAGAAGTAAGTTTAACATAATTTCAAATATAATTTTAATTTTTATAATTCGTATAGTACATTATAGAAATAGTTTTATATAAAAAAGATATCAAAGAAAAATTGTGTATTTTAATGATGTGGATAATAATTTAGAATTTGTATTTTTTAAGATATTTAGAGTTTTATTTAATGAAAACTTTTTACGATTACCTTTGATTTCGTAAATAGACGAAATAATAATTAGAAAAAATATAAATAATAGTAGGAAAAATTTCAGTTTTATTTGAAATTTATATGTGTGCTACTGATGTAACATTGTTTTATATATAACAAAGAAATTCATTTAATATATTTTGCGACTGTCTTTATATTTTCTGTTCTTTTTGACGTTTTAATAGAAGTTTAATTTGATTTTCTAGGGCACGGAGGCGTTGCTTTTAGAGGAAAATGAGGAGGAGGAAGACGAAGACGGAGAGCCACGCAGCTGGCGGCGATAGCAGCATCAGCGTCAGTGCCGTTTGTGACAGGAGCTTGATGTCAAATATGACGACAGTGTGATTCTCCGGGCCGATCATCGTATGCGACCTGTTACTTACGCCTACTTCGCTGCACCGCCGATTAATACATTCATTGCCATGATTTTCACAAAGGAATCGAATTACATCGTGCTCATCAGCATTATCATGTGTGTTACACTATTTGTTAATATTATTGAATATAATATACACATGCGCATCAGTGATGGTACAATGTACCATATTTAAGCAGCGCATCATGAATAGAAAAAGAAAAGAAATCAACACATAAGTTTCCAAACAAAAATAATTAACCAAAATTTATCCTTATTATTTGTAGAATAAAATCGCTATGTTTTGTATGGGAAGAAACAAAAAAAAACACACCTGTCATTCTGACAAGTCCTCTTCTTTTATACGTAGAATTTGAATCGTTTTTCTAGCTCTTGTTGTTTTAAAGGCTCGTTAATGCGGTAGACGGATTTAGGATAAGTAGGAGCTTGTAATTTCGAGAATTCTGAACTTTTTCATTCGAAGATGAGGAAACTATATTTGTAATTTATATAATACAAATAGGTATCTATATTGTATGATTCAATCATAAGTCGTAACATTTCGCTCGACTGGCTGTTGACTTTTATCTATTGTATCTATTTAAAACGGTTCTTGTAATAATGAAACAAGTACAATGTATCCTTCTTTGTTTGTTTTTAAAAGATATCAGTAATTTGATTGCTGAAAATCATTATGTATGCACGCGCGCGCGTGTGTGTATGTATGTATGAGTGCGTGTATGTGTGTATAAATATTTCGCGCATTCTTTACATAAATTCTTTTAATTGAGACTAAAGTACTGATATATAATTTTTATATACAAACCATTCCGTATCAAGGTAAGTATATACGATTATAAATAATAAATATTAACGTACAAAATTGCATGTTTCAAAACATAATCATTCCAGATATAAATTTCTAATAAAGTATAAGAATAAAATTACTTAATATAAGTATAAGAATAAAATTACTTAATAAAATGTTAAAAATGATTCTTTTGCATTGAGTTTTTCTTATCAACATTCATTAAAATTATATGAAAATGTTAACACATACACAGACACACACACACACACATTCTAATTTTTTACTTAGTTCTTAGGATACAAAATGTTTAATCGGAAAAATTAAATATTAATTATTGTATATTTCTACAAGTAATAAGCTTAAAAGATAAATCAATACATTTCTAAACTGAAATATAGACATCGTTAAATTCGACTTTCTTATGGAGCCAGCCAGCTAGCTAACAAACTGCCTAATAACAATTGTGCAACAGGTAATATGGTCAATGGTAAATTCACTGCTGGTCCATGAGCCGAGCCATGGTAAGCCCCACGCAAAATCCAACCACCGAGACTGACGGATTTATGAGTACTGGTAAATAACGCGGCTAGTAAAATATTCCGTGGTAACCATTGGGAGCACAGGATCCAACATAAGCTGCTAAGAAGGAGCTGACCTAAACATGCTTAAAACAAAATGTATATAAGATTGAATATTGTCAATCGGAAAATTGAATGAAAATTAAGTAATTTACCCATAAGTACACAAAATAATATATCCACTGCCTGTAACGATGAGGCATCTGTCAAAACAGCATCGCAAAACCAATGATACGCTATTGTCAGCAATAAACCTTGGGAAAACCAGTCCGTATTAATATTCACATATCTATCTTTCAGTATAAACGATCGTAGAATAATACCCGTCCCCAATGGAATAAGTGTGCTATATATAGTCTCTTTGATGTTAATCCCGACTAATGGTGGAGTAGATGTTCCTAACTGTTAAAAGAAGTTATTTACGATAAATTATATAATCTTTTAGAATAATTATATTAAAAAATGAACTCTAATTTAATCTCGATTTAATTAAAATAGTATAAATATTGTATAAGGTACCAATTTTAATTGTCCACCTCGAATATCATATGTGACACATTATCGTGAAAAATGTTTCAAACAAAAATTGTTTGGTTGAGGAAGTCAAATTTGAATTTATTTGACCTTGGATGGAAGCGTTAAGATCACGCCAAGATCATTTGGATTTTTAAATGAAAAAATATTTTTCATAGCATATTCTTGAAACTATTGCTGTCGATGCATCGAGGAAAGACAATCATTTTTCTTCAAAAAAATCTCGATGTCGACTACATGATGAATATGTCATGAAGAATATTTTTACTTAAGGATTACTCTTACTTAAAAAAAGCAAGATGATCCTGCGTGATCTTAATGTTTCCCCATTCAAAATTTTAAATAAATAGTAGTTTTATATGCCTCTCCTCCTCCCAAACATCAAACAAATTTTGTCTGAAAAACTTTTCACGACAATGCATCATCTACAACATATTCGAAATGAGCAATTAAAATAGGACATCGTGTATATAAATAGAAATAAATAATATATTATTAAACATGTATAATAAATATGTTCCAATAAAACAATATAAAGAACTTAATTAAAATTATTATTTTTCAAGTATGAGAATTCTCTTTAATAATAACTATATAATGACTAAAGATATATAATAATTAAAGAAGCATTAAATAAACTCGAATAAAGTATTATTTTTATGAATGAAACAATATACCATTAGATATAATAAAAGAGGAGATAAGAATAATCCTCCAAAATGCGATACCAATGTAGTAATTACGCTCGTAGGTAAATCAGCTTGTGCCAAACGGCATAAAGCGAGTCCTGTACTAAATGGTGGTGGCATGCAGTAAAGAACCTGAGAAATAATAATAATATATAATTATTATCATTTTCATAATACATTATATAATTATACATTATATAATTACAAAGTTTGATATAATATCTAGCTTATCACGCTAGACAAGATTAATTACAAATTATAAATTATAAACAATTACCTCCATTCCTTTGAGCAGCCATATATTAACTTTCGCATAGGTCAATAGATACGTCCCAATTCGTGCTAGAAAGGGCATGAAGATATATATAAAAACCATTACAAATGTCAAGAGATAGCCGTCCTTCAATGTTGAATAAAGAGATTTAGGATCGCATAATAATCCGGCTTCTAAATATGTCAAAGGCACAGCAAAATAACGAATAATAAAATTTCCATTGATTATACCTATAACAAAACGGTATAATATTATTATTGATTAATGTGATAAAAGAATCACACAAATATTTTTTATATATGCATAATTTCGATTTCTTTTTTAAAATATTTGAATTAGAAAATTTATTACCGTTTGTTCCACCAATATGTGGTTGAATAGTTGCAAATATCATACACACAAGCATCAACAGAACATATCCATATCGATAGAAAAGACTAATTCTTTTTTTCGAGTGTAGATTGATCTCTCTCTGAGTAAATTTTATTTTACACATTTCGAATTATTTTGTAGTGTATCTAAATGAAAAAAATTTTGTTTTCGTATTAGCATTTTCTAATAGAAAAAAATTATTTGTAAGTAAAATGCATAATATTTTTTATGATCTTACCTAAAGCATGCGTGAAATTTTCAGATTCAATATATTTCTCTATAGAAACCATCAATGAAGAAAAACAAAAAGAAATCAAATTAACTTTTAAACTTTAAAATATTCTTACCAACAATGTAAATCTGTTGCATATATAGTTTAATTATACAAATTTATTCTCAAATAATTTAAATTAATCATATTATAGTTGTATAACTGATTAATCTATATAAAAAATAATCTATATAAAAAATAATATTGAAAACAATATTTCTAAAGAGATGCAGGAGACGCTATTATATGAAACATCTTGTCAATCATAAAAAATTTATTATAGTAATATATATCTTAAGAATAATTAGAAATTTCATTATACTTTTAAGATTTTCACAAGTATTTCTCTCAAAACTGTTTTGTTGAGGTTTTGCGAGTTATCACTAAGTCATGAACCATTGTTAATGCTTCGTGAACATTGCAATCTTCAAGGTAAAGAGCAATTTAATATCGAGTTGCTCTCTTAGATTTCCTATGCTCTTACTTATATAAAGATAGTGAGAGATATTGAGATATTAAAGAAAGCTTTGAGCGATACAGTCATTTTGTGTTTGTATAAAATTTTTCATGCATTTGATTTTGTTATACTTCTTTCATTTGTCTTTCATTAATTTTATACAAATGTGCCATCATTGTTTTCTAGATTTGGTTCTGTTAGATCATAGAGCTATAAAAAACTTTGACTGTTACATAATTCATTTTAACAATTTTTTAAAATTGAAAGAATTTTCTATATTTTACTCGTAGTCTTATATCATTGTCTTTGTCTAAATTATCAGAATATTTTTGTATTTCTAGAATCTCTTTATACTACTCACATATATTTTTTATACACAGAAAAATGGCAAGGCTTTTTTGTTTCATTATATGTCTGAGTTCGTTATTTTACAAATATATTTAATCTTATTTATAATTTTTATGTACCGCTGCATATCACAATACAATTTTGACAGAAATGTCAAATTTTTTATCTTGATAAATTTATTTAGATTGACTGCAAATGAAATCTATACTAAATAAGAAATATTAATCAGAATATACATAAATAAAGTTTTTAAATTCTTTTAAAAATATGCCTAATTAATAATGGAGGTGCATAAGCATCAAAATTTGATGGCTTTCTTTATTAAACTCTTTATCTACATAATTATCTATTGCACGTCTATCACTTCATTGTGCTACATAAAAGCATATTATGCAAGTATTTGAAAGCAATAAATGACTATAAAAAAAATGTCATACAAGACTACTTCCTTATGATATACTTAAGAAGTTGAAATAGTGCTGCGAATAAAAGAGATCTTTTTGTACATAAAAGTTCATTATTATTTATTTGACAACTACCATATGTAACTGTTACATGCATTGTTATACACTATTGTATATTATGTATTTATAGTTGATAAAATATAATAGGTCTATTCTTTGTAAGTGATCTAGTATATACACTGGTAAAACAAAATATATCAGAGATATAATAAATATATCTCTGAAATTTGACAAAAGCAAGATAAAGATTTCAGTCCAATACAACAATAAAGAATAGACCTAATATTGCGAGCTATCGTGAATCTAAGAAAAAATTCGTGAACTTATCATAAAAATAGCTTTCGCATAGTAGAAGTAATAACATGCGGAATTATTTACGACGCTAAGGATTATTTATTATTTGATGATTGTGTTACGATTCGCGAAGAATTATTGTTCCTTGTTTAATCTCGTTGCTTTTCCATTCGTATAGAACTCGATAAGATTATACTAATTATACAACATAATTACGGCAATCTCTTATGTTATTCACGAGATCAAGCTGCTGCCTTCAGCAGAAAGAATCTCACAACTATATAGTATTCTTTAATATGATTAGTTTATATTCACAGACTTCTATTAGACTGCTAACTTGTATACAAAATGACTCGAAAAAGTGATGTGAGAACGAATAACGACGAATAATGGTAACATAACCACAATATAGGCTAGTTTCTTAATCGCTTGATGAATCTCGGTCCACAATAGGTATTTAATCTTTAAGGCGTAAGAAATTGACCAATGATAGTCAATCATTTTTCTCATATTCGATTATGATTGGCCAATTTTTTATTTCTTAAAGTTTAAATCACCTATTGTGGACCGACACTTATGCGCAAATGCAACTTTGGATAATTATACAGTTTAGATCCCTCATCTCAAATATGGATGAAACTATGCTTATTCGACGCGTTTTTGCACAAAATGAAATAGAATCTGGCAAAAATAAACGTCGCTCTGTCTCATGAAGCGAGATATTAATCGTTAAAGTTGATGACTATTCAGGTTAAAAAATCTGTCATATCAGCTAAATACGCATGCGCATGCGAAAAACGCGCGAATTTGAAACGTGTATCTGCGTAACAATAGACATTAGATAATAGGCGAAGGGAAAGGAATTTATTCTTGCCAGCAGAAGAAGAAGTGTGGAACAAGAGTAGAATCCTTTTTTTCGGATTCCCTATCATAGAATTAATGTCTATTATAAAAATAAAAAACAACCCTTAAACAATGCGAGTTTCGATACCGATCGTAATCCAGAAACGAGTAAAGCCGATATCAGACTAGAGATTGAGATTGAAATTAGATTGGAATATGATCAATTTGAACAAAGTTCACTAAACTTGAAATTGGTTTTCTTCTTTCTAATTGGCAAAATGAATATTAATGTATTATCTGAACAGAATGAATATTTATTATTAGCATTAATTCTTGCCGTGAAAATAAAAACTTCGATGTACAAAGAAATAATTTAGATATGAAAAGCGCATAGCAGTAAGATCTGCCGTGATTAAAAACTGTGTCACTCACGCCGCACGCACGCCCCCCTCTCCCCCACACTCACGCACACGCACAAAAATAATTATTCATATCATTCTATTTTAAATGAACCTAGTGAATTTTTAATACTTTTAAATATTTAATTGAAAATTAAAGATTCTTAATTTTATTAATTTTATATTCAAACTTTAATAATTATAACTTTTTATAGTACTGGATAAATTAGAAAACATTCCTTTATCAAGGATTATCAAAGAAAACATTCCTTTATCAAGGATCTAAACACAATGATCAGATATAAATCTTAAATATTGAAGATAATAAAAGGTCATGTTAAAGTGACATAAAAGAATAAAGATTTTCTTATAAACATTCAATGTATGGTTGGTTATATGCATCACGTCTGATGTTTTAAATATTTTATTTTCTAGTTTGTTAATTTTTTTTCTCATGTCAATGCGAAAATGAGATTATTCTTACACTGATTTATCAAATGTGGTATAAAAAAATTACATTTTCGCACATCGCATTTAGATGCATATATATATTTAATTTTAAATTTTTATGTTATATTAAATTTATATTTTTTATAATGATGTATGAAAGACAGCACATGTGTAATAATTCCTCTGTATAAAAAGGAAATGAATTTGCAATGTATCAGTAGTAACAAGTTAATCAAATTTAACCATTTGATCATAGCAACGTTTTCAGTTATAAAAAGGAATTATAAACACGATATTTATTTTATTATTTAAAATATTACTTGGTATATAATGTGCGCGTATATCAATCTTTGTTTTTTACTTTGTATAGTGCTATTAGATAAATGCTAATTATTGTAAAAAATAATCCGAAATCGAAAGATATTAAAAATATGAAGTTTTTTAAAATTTTATGTATTTGAAATTGAATATCATGCCTATGATTTTATAAATCGATTATTATTCTAATTTTGCAGGATTGTATAATACTCGGGATTTAATATTAGGTATAGACAAGATTTAGAAAAATCATCTTGTGATAAAAATATTTAACGTAAATATGCGTTATTAATAAAAAATGCTGATAAAAATAACGAGGAACGCGTCAATTTTTGAATATAACATAAATCATAATGATACAACGATAAAGTTGTTTAAATATTACAAAATCTTAATACTTAGCCAATCTCTATTAAAACAAAAAGTTATTAAATATATTAAAACAAAAAGTCTCTTGCATATTGTTAATATAGAAATATTTTTCCTCTTTACATGAAATTTATGCAGTCAAAGTCTGCACAATATCACAATGCAAAATGTTTAACTTTACAATAATGGTAGGCACTTGGTGATTAGCTAAGTGTTAAACAGCACATTATATAAAATGTTATATCGTAATAGAAAAAATACATTCGTCAACCTGAGATTTCGAGCTAAAGCTAAACTTAGTGTAAATTACATCTTAAAGATATAGATAATAACGTTCCTATTATTTTTTGGCAAAATACTGACTGAAGTAAAAAACAATATAGACAAGAATACTTATTCTTTTATATAAGTAAAACTTGTTTTTACTGAGTACAAAAACAATCTGTACATAGTTGTTGAGATTGTAAAGAAAGCATTACAATCGACAAACGAAAGCAGGTTAAGAGGATAAGGAGAACAATTTTCGTTATTAATGCAATTAATGGAACATATTTGTTCCATTGTGCATTGTCATTTCTACAAAAAGTTTTGTTGTTCATAAAATATAAAAGAAAAACGTTTAAACGTTATGAAAATAATTACAAACCTACAATTCTTGAAAAATGAAGTAACTTTTATATTTTATAACATATAAATATCAAACGTGCAAAAATTGCAAAAGTCGCAATAATTATTTAAATTTGTTTTCACGCTATTTGTATTTATTACTCCGCATGCACTGCATACTGAGATAGAATAAAATTGTTTTAATCAAAACTTTATGTCAGGAAGAAAAGTTTTAGAGTCCAGTATAAAACAAAGAATCAATCAGTAGAGATTTTATCAACATTGGAACAAGAAAAAACATTAAGTAGTCTCAAAACCTTTCTTACTGCACAAAAATTAGCCTGCTATATATAAATGCAGTTGCAACCCATAATTTAGAAAGAAATTTTATGCCAATCAACTCCAAAGTTATATTATTTTGTCATATAAAAAAAGTGTGTAAATTATATCTCATATTAAACGAAATTTTGTTCCCTCAGAGCTCTCCCGAATTTTACCCCTATGTTCACTACACATTGGCATACTGACAATTTTGTCTTTGTTAACGATCCAAAAAAAGAAAATACCCGACTGTATTATGATATAATGGAATACTAAGATATTAAATCATCTATAGTTATAATTAATCATATTACAGGAGAATCATCATAGGGAAATGCTCTCTTATAATCGTATTTCATTTTGCATTCTGGTATAAACATCTTATTTCACTGCAGTAATCATACTTAAAAACTAGATGCGGTATCACATGTTAAGGTGTTCAGGAAATCGATTGCTCCTTCAAGTTTCATCTTCTGAAACTTTACCTGTGTCAAAAATTTAAGGAAAAAAGAAGATTTAAAAGTTCGTAGTGCTGTTGCTACGATTAACTTTTTTGCCTATAATGCGAGATGACGACATTCTGGTCATTATTGGTCGCAACTGTCGATCGCAATTACTACCCTCGGTAACAACATTCGGTGCGATAGTTTTCAGGTACATCGCCGCGTCATGAAGTTGTTTAGATAAGATCTCATTCTTGAGTTTCTCAGCGTTCAATTCTCTTCGTAATTGTGCTTTGGTTTTTTTTCCGATCGGACATAAAACTCGATGTTGTATCAGGAATACTGCCGATGGCCTCGTTTCTGGATTGGGATGAATCATCAGCTGCAAATAACACAAAACAACAATATTAAAATAATGAAATTATTAGGAAGATGATGCGATAATGAATATCATAGCGATAAATCACCAGTAAAAGAAACAATTATTTAAATTTTAAAAATAAAATCATACCTTCAACAAATTGTTCATATCGCGATTGCAGTGCGACAAATCTGGTAAATTTCCTTGTCTAATTTCGTGCCACGCGGGTCCGTTCTTTGGTAGAGGCCCACCGCCACCTGCCTCGTAAACAGTCAGTCCCAAGGCAAAAATATCACCCTTTGGTAGATGATTAAAATTCTCGTGCAAAATCTCCGTCGGTAGATATCTGCAATCACCCTCCTCAACTTGTGGATTGTTGATAGAAGTAACATGGCCAAGATCGCCAATCTTGTAAGTAATCTCTTCATTGACAGGTTCCTCATCAAAACCATCGTCGGCAGAATCATAATTGAGAGCGAGCAATCTCTTTTCTTTAGTAATGAAGATGTTGCCAGGCTTGATGTCCATGTGCACAAGCTGCATGCTATGTATATACCTTAACCCCTCAGCAACATGCAGCAACAGTTGGCGCATTTCAGCCTGGTTGAAACGTGTTTTCTTTATCCTCATTGAAGTTATTGTATCTGCAAGACTACCACCATTGCAATATTCATTCTGTATTATCATATGATTATTCTCCGCCCAAGCAGAATAATAGCGTACGACATGTTGATGTTTGCCGAGTACGGCGTGCGCATACACTTCGTTTAGCGCGTTCTTCTCATTGATACTGCCCGCTACAGGTTTAATACTCTTCTTGATAGCATATGTACATCCATCCAACCGATTGATGCATTTGAACACGGAACCGAATTCACCGACTCCGATTAAACCAAGTTCGTGAAACTCTTTATGATAACGTGATATATTCGAGTCCTGCAATGCTAAGCGTTTCGTCGCGTGCTCGTATTCGTTGTCGGAATCTTCAGATTCGACGAGGTCACACTTTGGGACTTGTATATCCGGTGAACTACTATTATGAAAGACAACAAAAGAGAATTATCATTCACATGTGAAAGGCAAATCTTTCTGTAATTAAAGTAGCAGGCCGATGCATTTTAGAATTTTTGATATTAAACAGCATGAGAATAAAATCTTCAAATTTAGTTGTATATGGAAATAATTTAGTTGTATATGGAACTAGAAATAGAACATATAAAAATATCCTTTTCTTTAATTTAATTGTGAATAGTACTTTAATTGACAAATACTTTAATTTTACTTTATTGTTAAATATCATAATTAATTATAGGTAGATTATATACAAAATAAGTAATAATTACAAGATATAGAAATTGAGTACATACCCGTTGAGACTACGTTTAGATCTGCTTCTTTTTCTCGCTGCTATTAACATGCCGGAAGGTGTGAATGGATTCAAGTTTGCAGCAGGCTTTTCAGATTTGTTCTGATAACTAGGACTTATTTTAGAAGGTCTAGGTTTATCTAGATTAAAAAGCTTGGAACATCTTGAAGGTATTGGAGTTTGTAATACACTCTTCTCAATTAATGTTTTTGGAGTAGTGGGTGAATCAAATAAACGTAACGCCCTAACACGCTTATAAGGTGGACTGCATGAATTTTTGTGAGAAGCAATTTCACGATTGGCAGGGATCTTGATAGCTGGAGTACCTATAAATAAACATTTAGAGCATTAAAACTTTCAGCTATGGTTAAGATGCCTTACATTTAAATAAACACTAAAAAATATTCTCTCATTTATTTCATAATTATTAATAGCAAATTTGGTCACCTGCATTATACTGGATTAGTGCACATTAAAGGCTGCTATATATGAAACGTTTAAATATAATAGCACATCACTTTTTTGATGATAAATTCATTATAATCATGCATATTTTACTAAATACTATGATAAACTCATTGTTAACTATTTAATCATTTGAAATATTTATGTATTAAATATTTTACATTTCAATAATTTCATGTATTGCAGCTTAGTGTGCACTAATCTGGTATAGATCAGATCTGGTATGACCAAATTTATTATAAGAAAAACCCTAATCTAAAATTAAACAATCATTTACAAAATGTTATATTTTATAACTACATTTTCTTCTTTCATATAATTTTCATATTAATATCACATGAAAACAAATAATTAAATTAGATTAAAATATATAAATATATCAAAGATAATCATATAATAATGGATTAGTTATTATGGATATTTAAACTTAATAAATCATTAAAACATTTTTAACAACAAAAAAAGAACATACACTTAAATACAATTAATAAAAACTATTACAAAAAAACTATTACAAAATTTTATTTTGTTACACTCATAATCAATTCAATGTATAATTTTTAACAGCTACAATTAGTTTGCATGTTTAACCATATGTTTTATTAATAAATCCAAGTATCTATAATCAAATATTACATACCTATAATTCATGTCATACATAGAAGTTTTAAAGTTATTGATGCTATATTTCAATTTAAGAAACAATCATAATCAAAACATCATATAATTGATATATAATATAATAATTAATCATAATTTCAAAAATTGATTATCACAAATTGATTGATTTTACAGTAAATACGTATAATGCGAAAGAATTGTCTAAATGTATTGATATCAATTATTTCGCATCAAGTATATATTTTGATTTCAGATGTTAAATGCTTGAGATATCAAAGTATTAACTATCCCGATACATAATTGATTTCATAATCATCTTGATGCAATCTACATGAATTTTTTTGATCTATTAATACATTAAGAAAAAAAAAATAAAAATTTGTAGAAACAATATTATAACAAGCATATATTTATTATTACTACTACAATGAAAAATAAAAAATAAATTGAATTTTTACTAAAATAAAAAGTAAAATATTTTAATTTTACACTTTGAAAACATATCGTGATCACAACCGACTGCATCTCATAAAAAATAACAGAATGTAAAATAAGAATGTAAAATAACAAATATATATTATAAGCTTACAAAAGAAGAAAATCAAATTATGCGAAATCGAAATAGAAACAGAGTTTAACGAAATAGAAACAGTTTTTTTATCGAAAATACAAACCTTTTCTATGAAATATTTATTTATTATATTCATATTTATCGAAATAATTGGTAAAAAGAAAAAAGTCTATATTTTAGATAAAATTGAATTTCTATCTGCCAAAATCGATAGCGTGCACTTTCACAAAATTGTATCGGCACATAAGCTATGTGAAACGCGCATGCGATAAACCTGAATTGTTCCCGATTATTCGTAATTAGAATAGCCAGAATGAAAAGTAGTTTTTTAATTTTACATAAACTGTTTCCCTGCAAAACGCAGATTCGTAATAAACACGGAGAAACCACTTTCATTCGCAAGCGAGGACAGGAATGCCGCAACGTGGCGTGGAGAGGAAAGAAAAAGATCGTTCTTTGTATCTCCACATGATACCTCTGCGGCGAGAGATATACGTAGAGGAAAGGTAATTAAACGAGACGTAAAGTTCAATTACAAAGGGCAGGTCGAATGGGATGCAAGATTCTAACCTGTTATGGAGGGTGGGATCTTGTTGTTATTGTTGGTCGGCTGGCCCTCATCGTCGTTGCAATCCAGCGCGTTGAACAGCTTGCGCGGTTGTAGCGGAGGTGGCGAGTCAAACTCGTCGACAGAGGAATCGAGGACGTCGCAATCGGGACTGTTGCGACCGCAGCTCCAGGAAAGCTCGCCGTTCTTCATGTCACGTGCGTCGTAATGCACCTTCCGCGCGACCTCCATGTTCGCAGTTCGCAGGATCACGTCGCGTACGTACGGCATGCGCGCCGCGCCGCGACGCTCGCGATCTGCGACTCGCGTTCACGCGTTCACGTTTACGTTCGCGCTTGCGTTTGCGTTTCGCGTCCACGAGAAAGCGGAGCACGTGCCGATCGCGTATGAGAAATGACAAATCCACCGGTCGGAATCGCGAGACACCGTTGACGTTGTGACGTTCACGTTCACGCGGTCGCACTTATTCAAACGCCGAAGAGTACCTCCGGCAGGCACTTCCCGTTTCGGCGTTCGCGTTCGTTATGGCCGCTGGTGCAACGCGATCGCGGCCCAGCTGGCGCGACCAATCGACGCGCGGCGCAAAATATGCCGACACGGCAGCTTCGTGTAACGCGCCCGTCAATTGGCTGCCGCGCGCCGGCCGCTTCCCCCACCACCGTGTCACTACCGGTTGCCTTATCGAAGATCGGGGGTTGGTCTCGTCGAAAATTTACACGCTTTCCCGTAAGATTTTCCTCACGTTTCGGCAAGGAAAAGTAACGAAATAGATCCCCGCTTATGCCGCTTCGTTCTCGTGTGAAACCTGGTTCATCTCGACAACGATGCGCACAGCACGTAACGAATTTTTCGCTACTATCATAGATAGTCTCTCGACATACGTGATTACGAGAGAAACGGCATTTAAAATTTTTTTTCAAAATTTAAATTATCCGCTTACGTATTGTATGACCTTTTGGTTTGTTTTTTTGCAGAGCTAGTGTACACTTATACTTAAAATATATATTTGAGGTTTAACAAAAACGAGACAGAAAGTTTTGGTGCAGCTCGGTGTAGGAACAGAAAGCAAACCTGTTGTATCGATGGATGACACTGAACGATAGTTTATTGTCATCTGATACACAAAGGATACATCCTGGTCATTTCTTTACTATAAGTAAAAACGTATTTCTGATGAATAATATGCAAAATACCAAAAACATTGCTTTCAGCTGCCAATCAGCTTCAATGCCATTTGAAAAGATTGATGTATAAAGATAAAAAACTTTTACATTTCAAGACCGAATTTAGCATATAGTCCAAAAATATAAAAACAAAAATTATCATTGGATATAAAATACCGCTCAATTAGCAGAAAAAATGTTAATATTGATTTATTCCACGATATCGATTGTTATTTATGTCATATTTGTTATAAAATTTATAATGTTATAATATTTATGTTATAAAAAAATATTAGAACATTCTCGAATATTATTTCACGATCTAAGTTAAATCCAAGTCTTCGGAGTTTCGACATTTAAACCGACATTTAAATCGTCGCACGATTAATTAGTTCTACCAGTAATTTTTTAATGTGTGTTAAATGCGCCTCGATCATCGACAAGGCCCGATGGAGCGACAGGATCGCGAATATACTGGCCCGAATATCACGGACGATATCTACACTGTGCGATACTGCAGCAGCTGTTCGGGATGGCCGGACATCTGCCGTTGACTATTTCATCTCTTTGGGCCCGCTTCGTCTCGAGACCAAAGGCTGAAGGCCTTTTAACGACGCAGCGGAAACTATTTCGTTTCAGGTTCAATTTAAACTGATTGTAATTAGATGGAAAGATCCGACTTTCTACTGGTATGTACTGCACGTACTTACACCGTACATAATGCTCATAGAGATCTTTGTTTTTCCTTTTTTTTACAAAGAAACAAAGAACGCGTCCTTGCGTTCGAAAGCTTCACAGCGAAGGAATTTTCGTCGAGCAGCTGCAACCTGTGGCTGGCCGACAGTGGAAAGAGACTCCAAAGACAGGAACGACTCATGCCACAGCGGCACCCTTACACCGATACACCTCTTCTTCTTTATCTCTTAATTATTATTCTTAATTAATTATTTATATAATCTTTTTTATTAATTTCTTTTAAATAATTTCTTAAGATTCTTTCCTTAGGATTCTTTCGTTTAAGATATTGAGTTTATGTTTATCTCTATTTTATCGTTTTGACTAGAGATAGTAATTTTCAAAATTTATAATTATTTAAACAGTTTTCTAATTCGTTTTACACTACGAGGAAATCCTTTTGTATTATTATTTCTAATAATAGTTCGAATAATAGAAAAGTGCCTAAATGATATATAATTATTTCTTATTCGTTATAATATAAATATATATATAATATAAATATATATACATATAATATATATTTATAACATATGCATATAAATGCATATAATACATATAAAAGATTTATATATCTTTTAAAAATGGTTCCTAAGAATAAATAAGAATCATAAGAATAAATAAATTTAATGATGTATTCTATTAATTTCCCGAAAACAGAAAAACATAACACGAAAAAAATGTCTATGAAAATATAAGATTTTTATATGTTTTTATTTTCATTTTATTCAAATTCATTTTTAATTATATTCATTTTTAATTTCCAATAGATTTTCGAAAATTATCGAATGACAAACACAGCAAAACTGTTTATTGTTTTTATATTATAAACTTTCATTCAAAATATCATTCTTTTGAAATATGTATTCTTTTGAAATATATATAATTTGTTGACTATAAAATTGCGCATAGTAAATGATTTTTGATAAAGGAGAAATGTGAATGTGAATGTAGAAAAATATGCATACTTTAAAAATTTATTTGTTTTCTGTTATTTTTAATTTAATCGGAAGGAAGAGAAAAAAAGATAAAGTGTATTCAGATTTTCGACAAACATTATATTATATAACAATTATACAAGTTAGTTGTAATATTATAGTACGATATTATAATTTTCAGAAAAAAATTGTATTTACGAAAAAAGTTATATTTTCTGTAATGATATTGTATATTTTTCATAATAATCTATTCGGCTTTCTTCATATTAGTAGCTCCACATGACATACAAAACAAAACATTTCAAGAACAGAATAGTAATGATTTCAAAAATAATAACACAATCTATACTGTTTAATACGAGAGGTATACTGTTTAATAAGAGAGACAATTGTATACATGTATCAATGTACAATTGTATACGTCTGTTTACAAGAGATAATCTCTTCAAATCGCTTCCCCCCCCCCTCCGAAATGTTCTTTCCTCAAGAATAAATTCATAAATTTCCAAATTCACATAAAATTGATAAAAAGGATAAGATTTTTTTATAAGATTTTATAAGATAAAGATTCCAGCAGAAGAGAGATAAAGATTGATTATCTTATATCATATTTAATACAATGGGAACAAAACCTCTCTCTCTCTC